TGAAAAGGAACGGTGTCACCCCATACTGGGGACGACGTGTGTCTGTTTCTGCTCTGCTTGTCTGGTTCAATTACAGAAAATAACAGCATTGTGTTTCACGAGCATGGAAGGAAGAAGCAGAAGTGCCCGGCCCAGAAGGGTGGCATGGCCGAGCTCAGAGAGGTGGGACCGAGAGTCTAGGATCTGCATGTCGAGTGCCACACAGAGCTCTTGTGGTGACCACACTGGACCAGAGAGCTGTTACTACACGTGGGAGCTGGCCCGCAGAAGGCAGGAGAGGAAATGGACACAGTCAGCAAGATGAGGAAGACAGGCTTTTAGGAAGTGGGCAGGGGTCACTCAGAAGGCCCAGGCAGGGGAAGTGAGCTCCGATGCACCAAGGACGGCCGTGGTGGCTCAGTGAGCAGGGGCACAAAGGGCACCACAGGGTGGAGAGGGCACACGGCCCGACCCTGGGATCTCCCCGCAGGGCTGACACCACGCTGTGACTGTGGTGGGGGTGGAGGTGAGGGCAGGCACCTGCGTCTGCTGCACAGGAGGGGCTCGGTGAGGGCTCAGCAACTCTCAATTACCTGTCTGTGTGAAACACTAACAAGGGCAATCTGGCTTTGACTCTGTTTTTAAGACATAAACAAAAATAAGATGCCACCATCTGACTTGTCCCCAACATGGCCAAGACCTTAATGAGGGAGGGCTTTGCACGCTGACAGAACAGGCCCTGGCTGACGGGTCCTAGGGGGGCAAGGGGCGAGCTACACTTGACAAGGTGTTTAAGACTGGAGCGCAGAGGCCGGACTGGAGAAAATGATGGGGAAGAGACGGCTGTCTAGGAGAGGACCACGCCAAGGGACGAAGAGCAGAGAGACGGCGAGACGGGGTGCAAAGGCAGACCCAGGTAACTGGGTGCAGAGGCACGGGGAGCGCTCAGGGGCTTGCACCCCTGAACTGCTTGATTACTTTACCACAAACATAACATTCACCATTAAACATTTAGAAATAAAAGCTTTCTTTTTTTTTTTTCGGTACGCGGGCCTCTCACTGTTCTGGCCTCTCCCATTGTGGAGCACAGGCTCCGGATGTGCAGGTTCAGCGGCCATGGCTCACAGGCCTAGCCACTCCACAGGATGTGGGATCTTCCCGGTCCGGGGCACGAGCCCGTGTCCCCTGCATCGGCAGGCGAACTCTCAACCACTGCGCCACCAGGGAAGCCCTACAATTTTTCTTTAAAAATAGGGATACGACAAAATTATAAAGTAAATTATAAAGTCAAACGTGAAAGGGCAGCTTTAAGATAATCACAAAGAGCTGAATATACACTGAGAATGAGATTACAGTATTAGAGAAGTATCTTGTTAATTTTGTTAGGTGTGGTGAAGAAACCATTCCCTTGATAGAGCCACTCAGATGCATTTATGACAGAAAAGTAAGTGGGGAAGGAATAGATTTTTAAAGACTGGCAAACTGCAGAGAGCTACTGAAGTTGTGTGATGGGTCTCCTCACGGAGGTTCATTTCACACTCCTGTCAACTGGGGGAAGAAAAAAAAAAGCACAACGTGAGAGTTGTGAGTTAAGTTTTATTTGCGGCAAAATGAGGACTATAGCCCGGGAGTCAGCATTTCAGAGAGCTCCAAGAAACTGCTCTAAAGAGGTGGGGGGAAGGTCAGTATATTTCTGATTTTCATGAAGGGGGAGTCCATGCAATCGAGCACACATTTTTTGCAGAAGGTTTCTGCTAGTCACGAGGAGCAGACAGCACCATGAAGGATTTTAGTGCTTCTCTAGATACAGGGAGACGACAGAATTGGGCTCATAAAATCTTCTCCTGAAGATATCTATCTGAAGACCTGTTCTCCCAGCTTTCCCCAGAGCACAGAGTGCTTCATTCCTGATCTCCACCCCCTGAAATCCTTTCGGGGGTGTTGACGGTCAGCAGCTGCAGAGCTCATAATCTGATCCTTGTAGACGTAGATGCTAAGTGTCAATTTGTAATTGACACTCCTATTGTATGTTTGAAAACGCCATAAAAAGTTTAAAAAATAATAGGAAAGCAGAGCATAGAAGGGCAGGGAGGGGGGAGATGCTAAATCTGTCCTGTTTCTGCTGGACACAAAAAAATTCAGTCCTAGCAGTTCCTCATAAGCCCTCTGCAAAGGGAGGGAAGAGAATGATGACAGAACCAGCTCTCAGGACAAGGAATGTGACATCCCTTATCTGATGCAGAAATGAGAGATCAGAAAGATGATCAATCTAAATCTTAAAACCTAATTTTCTTTATCTCTCCCTAAACTATTTTTTCTAACACAGAGCACAAACAAAGCATTCTTAATAAAACCAACGATTTCCAAGGCCTTCCGTGGGTCACAAATGCCTTTGAAAATCTGATGAAAGCTCTGGATCCTGTCCCTCAAAAAATGAGCATACAACAGGTATTGGGCCTAATTCAACTTGGAGAGGCGATCAAGTCTACTTTGCTGGGATGGCCGCAGAGGGACACTGCCATTGTAAATGTCCACTGATTTACACCATCCTGTCCCTCTCCCTCAAGGAGACGCTGTGTCCCCTGGAGAATACTGACAACAGAAACCAGCACATAAAATCTGGCCCAAAGACGCCAACCTGCATGTATTCTCTTATGAAACTGAAAAGTCCTTTTTTGAGATCCTTTACCCATATCCCCCGCAGAATCTCTCAAAGAGGTGCTAAAGAGGTGCTTGCTCTGACCTGCAGAGCCCAAGGACCCAATCCTCACTCTGCATTCTTCCTCAGCAGGCTGCATCTGTGCCTGTCAGTAGTCCTCTCACTGTACTGTCCTCATCCCTGGGACAGATGGACACGGTGACCCTCCCACGCAGCCTGAGAACTCCCAAGTGTTACCTTCCTCGACACCATGTGATAAAAATCCTTTTCAAGAATAGGTAGAGCACAGAGCATTTTTAGGGCAGTGAAAATACTCTCTATGATACTATAATGGTGATATATGGCATTATGTATTTGTCCAAAACCACAGAACGCACACCACCAAGAGTGAACCCTAATGTAGATTATGGGCTTTGGGTGATGATGACACGTCAATGTAGGTTCATCAATTATAACAAATGTGTAACTCTGGTGGGGGATGTTGATGGCGGGGAGACTGCATGTGGGGGGCAGGGGGTACGTGGCAAATCTCTGTACCTTCCCCTCAATTTTGCTATAAACCTAAAACTGCTCTACAGAATAACTCTTTTAAACAATTTTTGTTGTTGTTTTTTGTTTTTTTTTTTTGTGGTACATGGGCCTCTCACTGCTGTTGCCTCTCCCGTTGTGGAGCACAGGCCCCGCGGCCATGGCTCACGGGGCTAGCTGCTCTGCGGCATGTGGGATCTTCCCAGACTGGGGCACGAACCCATGTCCCCTGCATCGGCAGGCGGACTCTCAACCACTGCGCCACCAGGGAAGCCCTAAACAATTTTTTTAAAGCAATAACGATAACGATAGTAATACAAATACTAATAATGGTAACAGCCACTGTGATGCTTTCAGCCCCACTTTCCAGAGCTCTGCACCACAGAGCCACAGTGTGCTTCACCACTGCAACCCATTCCCGTGACACCAGGCATTCACACACGGACGTTCCCCAACTTAGATCCCTGTTAACTTGCAATAGTTCACTCATGTGCTATTCTCCCTAAAACCAAATATAACTTAAGAAGACTTGGTTCGTTCCATAAAGAGGTTACGTCTGAGAAAAGGAAGGCAAGGGACAGCCTGGACACAAGATGAAAGTCTGATTCTGAAACCTCTGGGCTAAGTTTATTTGAGAGATAACCCTGTAGTAACTGTCTTCAGAAACCGCTAATATCTGACATCACAGGCAGAGGCACTTCTTTCCGGGCAGTGCATTTATCTACAGTCTTGGGAAACATACCGCAGATCTCCTTCCATAGGAAACCAGGTCTCATCTTGCTCATGGAGCAATGCAGCTTCCAGGTTGCCATGGAAACGTTGCTGGGCAAGGAGGTTCAGACCAAGAGGCGGCATTCCTGATGAAACGGGGCTGGTGGCTCCCGCAGTCAAACGTACCCAATCTAAATGTCACTAGTGCTTCAGAGTAAAAGGGTAAAGCTTACACTCAAGGGCCCAATGGAAGCAGGCTGCCTTTAGATAACAAGTCCCTGAAATTCACAAGGAAAGAGACAGATCAACAGTGAGGACAGCCAGCCTCCTGTGGGCACTTCCTCTGCGCAGACCCTGAGCACCTCACACATACTGTCTCCTTCACAAACCCCGCAATGGGGCACAAGGAGTCTGAGCAACTTGGGGATCTACCCTCCAGCTTCTGCTGGGCCAGCTGCCTGACCTGAAAACCAAGAAACAGTCATCAAAACCCATAAATATCACTGGCCAAAATGCTGTGAAGAAGTTCTCCCACCAGGCACGCTCTGTATCAAGTAAACGTGTGAAGAGAGAGGCTCTAAGGAAGAGCCTCACTGGTTAACACAGAGAAATTAGAAGGAAGCCTTCACAGAATTTACTTTCAAATACAAGAGAAAAACGTGAACATACTGATCTAAAATGTCATTTATACAGAAATCACATGAAATGGTTTTCAGGTGTTCCGAGGACAGCGGGACAGAGGAGCTTCCTGCGGGGCCTCTCCTTCTGTGGGCTTCCTTTCTGCAGCATCACCATCCTGCAGCAGCCTTGGTGAGAGCCTGGGAGTGGTGCAAGTGCCCTCTACATCCTTGCCGGTTTAACACGTTGGCTGTTCCAGGGAGCAAGGCCTTGAGCGCGCCGCACACGGAGAGAGGGACACGCCCCTCCAGAGAAGGCGGTTCCAGTTGGGCCTGGTGTGACGGCCGAGCTGGGCTGACGCAGAGAACTCGGGTCGGTGGGGCTTCCAGCCACCTGCCTGCCTTCCTTCTCGACGGTCCTCAGAACACATGCACTTACCTGGACAGCCAGCCACCATCGGCCAAGACTCCAAACACACGAAGACACCTGCTCCTCTGAGCCTTACCTTGTGTACACTTTTGGGGTTTTCCAACCAAGCATAGTACATTTCCTCCACATAGTTCGAACTAGTCCCGCTGAGGAAGGGCTCCGCAGCAACGGGGGCAGTATAGCACCGGATCTGCCCAAACGTCCTAGCTGCTGCTGGTCTGTTTTGTGAAAATGTCTTCACAGTCTGGGAAGCCGTCAACGGCCTCAACTTAGCAGCACAAGTCCTTAAGTGAAACATTCTTGTCCTGAAGTCTCTCACGACTGTCTGCACCAAAAAAAGAAAGAAAAGTTAGAAAGAGCATTGTAGCAGCCAAGGCTACTGGGGGAAAACCTCGCAGACTGTGGCTGGAGGAGAAAGACCCTGTAAATGCATTTGTGGCCGCGTGCCCTGCTTCAGAGAGCACGACACAGCATGAGGTAGTCAAACTGAACAACCTCCTATGTACAGGGCCTGTGCTCCACACGGGGAGGAGAGAACACAGCTGTAGAGGTATGGTCTTCCCCTGCAAGTTTCAATCTAGTTTGAGGGATACGATATATCATGATAAATATGTGACGCCCTGTAAGTTTATACGTTGTATAAAACAATTATAGGCAAAGGCAACAAAGATTAATGAATGATTAGATTAATATAATTGTAAAATGAGAAAGATACTTTCTAATCTATTCAGAGACTACCGAGTACCCGCTGGACTCACGGTATTCTGGAGAACACGGAGACATTGGAAAAATATTTTGCTCACCCTCAAATAATTTATCTTTGAGCAGCAGAAAAAAATTTTTTTTAATTAAAAATTACAGCGACAGCACTGAGCGCTTGAGAGGCACAGAAAATGCCAACACAACTCCATGGGAGAAGCCGCTCCTCCCAGGTGTTCCTTTCCGGCGGCTGGGAAAGCTTGGGGAAGGGGCGGAGCACAGGGAGGATTCTGCTCTGGAGAGGCGGAACGGCAGGCATTCTAAATATAAGAATCAGGAGGAGGAAAGACAGAGAGGTGGAAAGGCGAGCAGAACACAGGGGAAAAGCAAGAATCGTCTTGTCTGGCAGGAAAGGTGGACTGGCTGGACAGCCAGGGGTCCTGAGCCCCGTTTCCTGGGACTGGGAGCGGGCTCTGTGGGAGGAAGCACGGGCAGCAGTGACTACACAAGTGTCTACCTACCTTGGGGCGCTCTGTGGTCATCAACTTGACATGTTAGGATTCATCACGAACCCCACCAACCCCCTAGAAGACAGGGGCTAGCTCTTCTGTTTTACAGGTCACCCTTCTGAGTTTAAGTTTTCCCCAAGGTTGAATAGACCCTGAGTTTGAGGATTGTAATTTTACTAAATCTAGTATGTAACTCTATATACGCTAGCCATTTTACAAAAGCAGCTGACGCACCCACCAGATCATGAAAGAGTTTAGACTGTCCCCAGAGGGGTCTTGAACCACTTCCAAGCACGAGTCAGAATCCAGATGCCTCCGGGAAGGGACCCAGTCAGGAAGGGATAAGGACACTGTGCAGTTCCTCTCCCCATAAAGATCCCGGCACCTTCCAGTCAAAGCGAAAGAGGCTGTGGGAGGGAAAGGGAGCCCCAGGGCAGGGACGAGGCTCGCCACAGCCCTCTGCCCTGAGATACGGTGCCTGCTGGCCTAACACATGGTTGCCCTTAAATCTGCCTTAAAGCAAGTGCCCGGGCTGTCAAGTTGGAATTACACCCCACCTCCACTCCTGCCTGAAGGAAATCCAAACTCTGAGACATGCTGAGAATTACCCAGAAATAAATGTTACATAAACTATCCTCTACACAGTTTATACGAACCCTTCCTCTTAAGCCAAATATGATCAGAATACGCATAAAGGACACTGACAGAGAGAGTGTCTGGCCTGTTCTCCTGCTCAGAAAAGACAGGTCAGCAAAAGGGAAAAGCAGAACAGGTACTTTAAAAACAAACTGAACAACAAACAAAAACTTGTTCCTTAAAATTTAAAGATGAACAAGCCTATATTTTGCTATAGAATGCAATCTTAACTCCTTTTCTTTTTAACCTTAAGTAACTTCAGTAGTTCTTCCTACCTCCAACTATACTCCCATTTTCTCTAACAGGCAGACAAAGAAAGACACTGATGGCAAAAATACTACTACTGCTGCTTTCCACGTTAATTTTTTTAAAAATTCAGGTCCAAAGGAAAACACTCATTTTTTTCCTCCAATGTCATTATTATCTAGGCAGCTTGAAACACTCGATGGCCCCTGAGCTGGGGTTTTCTCCTAGAACACAGCAGTATCATCACCTCCATTAGTATCATCACCACCATTAACTGTCATTATTCAGTTGCTGCGATACCCAATTAACAGGCACCACACTGACAAGCACAAAACTGCTCGTTTCATGGGTTCTTCCCAATGCAGTCCTTCCAATATGATACTATAAACAAACCACGTTACCTAGCTATCTACAGTCACCGAATCTGACAAATAGCTCAGTGCTGCCGAGCACTGTTACTAGCAATTTTCAAACTTCCCTTAAGATGACTCATCGGAAAACCTGCCCTTCAGCAGATGGCTCAACATCCCCGGCCTCCACCCTGGGAAGACCAGGAACAGCTGTTCTCTATCCACGATCTTATGGACCCACAGAGCAGACAGCAGGTATATATACATTTCAGATTTTGGTAGGTTCAGATTCCATCCTTCCAATTCCAGAGTCAACATTACGAATAGTGCACCATTTTTGGTAGAAACACTGAATTGTTCAAACACTTTCATGAAAGCTTCGGGTTGTCCAAGAAGTCCAAGTGTTCTGACTTGTGGTTTAGAACAATATTTCTACTTGACAAGGGGGCCAAAAATTCTCAATGGGGAAAGAATAGTCTTTTCAACAGACGGTGCTGGGGCAACTGGAGATCCATATGTGAAAAAATGAAGTTTGGACCCCTGTCTCACACCATATACAAAATTAACTGAAAATGGATCAAAGACCTAAATGTAAGAGCTAAAACTGTAAGACTCTTAGAAGTTTTATAACTTCCAAGTTAAAATGGAATAAATCTTCATAGCCTTGAGACAAACAACGTGTCTTAGTTAGGACACCAGAAGGACAAACAACAAAAAAAATAGACAAACTGGACTTCATCAAAATAAAAACTTCCGTGCTTCAAAGGACACCATCAAAAAAGAGAAGACAGTCTAAGAGTAAAAGGAATATTTGCAAATCATAGAGCTGATAAGAACTCTTACAACTCAATAATGAAAATAAAAATAACCCAATCAAAAAATTGCCAAAAATGACTTCCCTGGTGGTGCAGTGGTTAAGACTCCACGCTCCCAATGCAGGGGGGCCCAGGTTCGATCCCTGGTCAGGGGACTAGACCCCACATGATGCAACTAAGAGTTTGCGTGCCACAACTAAAGATCCTGCATGCCACAGGGAAGACCCCGCATGCAGCACAACTAGGAGCCCTCGTGCCACAACTAGGACCCAACGCAGCCAAATAAATAAATTGATTAATTTTTTAAAAATTGCCAAAGGATACGAACAGACATTTTTCCAAAGAAGACACACAAATGACCAATAAGCACATTAAAAGATACTCAACATCATTAGTCATTAGGGAAAAAAATGTAAATCAAAACCACAAGATACCACTTCATGCCCACTAGATTAGATACAATCAACACAAGCAAGTGTTGGAGAGAACGTGAAGAATTTAGAACCGTCATACAATTCTGGTGGGAATGTAAGCTGGTGCAGTCACTTTGGAAAACAGTTTGGCAGTTCCTCAAAAAGTTAGACATAGAATTACCATATGACTCAGCAACTGAACTCCTAGGTACACAACCAAGAAAAACAAAAACATACGTCCACACAAGACCTTGTACACGGATGTTCACTGCAGCATTATACGAGCCCAAAAATGGAAACAACTCAAATGTCCATCAACTGATCAATGGGTATACAGAGTGTGGTATAGCCATACCATGTAATAGTATTAGGCAATGTAAAGGAATGAAATGTTGATATCTCTTGCAACACAGATGAACTTTGAAACTTTTAAGTGAAAACACTCATTCACACACAAAAAACACATGTTGTATGACTTCATTTATATGAAGATGTTCAAAAGAGGCAAATTGATACAGACAGAAAGCCCAGGACTGGGGGTAGCAAGGATAAGACATGACAACTAATGGGTATGGGTTTTTTTTTTGGGGGGGGGGCGGGGAATGAAAATGTTCTAAAACTATTGATAGATAATGCTGATGGTTTCACAACCTTATGATATACTGTAAAATGTTAAATTGTACAATTTAAATGGGTGAATTGTATGGTATATGAGTTATACCTCAATAAAGTTTTTTGTTTTTAAATGTTTGTGAACAGATTTGCCCAAACCTAAACTTTATTTATTTTTTTTGCCACACCGCGCGGCATGCGGGATCCTAGTTCCCCAACCAGGGATCGAACCCGTGCCCCTTTGCAGTGGAAGCATGGAGTCCCAACCACTGGACCACCAGGGAAGCCCCTCAATAAAGTTGTTTTTAAAAAAGCCTAAGAAGAAACATAAACGAGCCTATCCCTATCAACAAAGTACACAAAGCGACACTATCTGTAACCCATTAATTTCAAGATGCAAGTATAAATCTACACATTTGAGAAAAATAACATTAAAAAAACCCCAAAAACCAAAGCAAAATTTGTTTTTAAGGGTTCAGTGCTCTGCCCTTAGGAAAATAAAACAGTTTATCTGTGCCTGGGCATTCCCCAGTCAGGCAGCACACATCTTACCCAAGGCCCCTCCTTATTCACAGGATGAGGAGATAAACTGACTCCTGACGTCTACCACCCTCATGCTGGCTAGACAGAGGAGTAATTAAAGAGGCAAAAACAGCCTGGGCATTTCTCAGGACATGAGTCTTTTAGGGAAAAGCACATGCATCATTAAATGATTGTTAGCATTGTGTGTTGCCTAAGAACCATTTTAAAAAAACTTACCTTGAGAGACTTTTTGTTTTTTGTTTTCTTTTGGTTTTGGACTCATTAAGATTTTCATGATGAATCAAGAAAACAATGCTTGCTACATACCTATCGCTGTTAATCCATTATTCTAGTTTTAGCAGTGATACAAAGACATTATGTACACGGAGAGCATAAGTACCAATTTTCTTTTACTGGCTGAGAATCTCAAGAGAATGCAACGTCTTTCATTTGTGATGCCTCATCAAACATAAACTGAGGGATTGAGAGGTAGTGCAGAGTACTCTTAAACTACAAAGGTATTTTGCCATTATTACACAGAAACGGTGGTTGAGCCTGCAGGGCAAACAGGCAGAGTGACTCTTCCTTGCTGTGTGAGCCTTAAATGTATCACTTGATCTGTGTTCGTTTCCTTTGCCATAAAGTGAAGGATGCAATCACTTCTGCTCCCTCAATGTTTTTTGTAATTATGATACAAACATGAAAGAACTTTGCACACTTTAAAAGTACTTTTATGGGACTTCCCTTGTGGCGCAGTGGTTAAGAATCTGCCTGCCAATGCAGGGCACACGGGTTCGAGCCCTCGTCTGGAAAGATCCCACACGCCGTGTAGCAACTAAGCCCATGCACCACAACTACTGAGCCTGCTCTCTAGAGCCTGTGAGCCACAACTACTGAGGCTGCGTACCACAACTCCTGAAGCCCGCGCACCTAGAGCCCGTGCTCCGCAACAAGAGAAACCACTGCAATGAGAAGCCCGCGCATCGCAACGAAGAGTAGCCCCCACTCACTGCAACTAGAGAAAGCCCGCGCACAGCAATGAAGAGCCAACACAGCCAAAAATAAATAAATTTATTTTTTTAAAGTATTTTTATGACTAAAGGACTACAACCTACCAGAAGAAAAAAAAAACCCACCCCACAACTAATGATATGTCTTAAAAAGCTGAAGTTCCCAAGGTAAAGCTAAACAGAAGTAAATTTGGAGTGGGTAGCTGACCAGATTGCTGGGGGGGACTTCCACCTCTGAAGTGGGAACCCCAAACAAGCTTCAGTGCATGGGTCTGAAGACTGATCCATCCTGCCCAGACCGGCACTGTGTTTCCAAAGGTGCCCTGAATGCAGTGGTGTATGGTATAGGTAAATAGGCACTTTTTAAAGGTGTTGGTTAAAGTAGAAATTATTAAATTTTTATGGAAAGCAAGGACACTTGTCAATATTTATTAAAAATTTAAAAAGCACATACAGGACTTCTGTTTCCCACTAAATGCAGCTAAAAACATGAGATGCTTCATTTAATGCAAAACAAAACATAAGACTCTGAAAGGTGGAGAGGAGACAGACTGGGAAGGGGCCTCGGGGTCCCAAAAGACTGAGCATTGAGTTCTCGGTTTTCCTTTTGCCTCATATATTCCAGGCTAGATGCTGAAGAAGCTGGCAACCCAGAAATACCAACTAATGTAGACCAAAAAAAAAAGCTGCAGTAAAAGCCTGCCCTCTCTGGCCAAAGGACCAGGAATGGGGCAGCCCAGCAGGACAGAATATTTTTAGACAATAACAACTCTACTGCAACCAACCCCACAGAAACACTGTGGCCCACTCCCACTCCACCTGGTAGTGTCAGAGGAGATCAGGGACTTCCATCCCCACCAGGTGACAATGAGCCACCCTCCCCACCCCAACAATCTAGGAGGGAGCCTGGATTCTACTCTCGCCCAGCAATAACAGGGCAGCACCTCTCCCTTCCCAGGCAGGGTGGAATCCCAAAGGTGTAATTGGGAAA